TGGAGACTCAAAGCCAAGGGAAAGAATTTTTTTCTCCTCTGGAGTCTGCATTCTATAGAGTAGAAATGAACTTGGAAGGAACTGCAGCTCCTGAGGCAGAGTGGCTCCTGGCTACCTGGAGGCAGATACCCGGTAAACAAGCAAGTAGCCCATGGACATGGGTCTGGACAGTAAACCGTATCCACTCCTACTAGCCCTCTGGGGCCAGCACCAGCCCCAAAGTGATTCCAGAACTATAGAAAAACAATCTGCAGATTTTGGAAATTTCATCTGCAAATCCCACAGTGAGCAGACATTAATATTTGCTTAGAACAAACACTATTATGCGCTCATTGTGTACATGACTTCAATGCAAGAATAGTTATAGGACTCTTTGCAATCATGGAGCCTTTATGTACCAATTAGACTGTAACCAAACCAAACCCACAGGAAGAGAGCATCATCTCCTCTTCTAGCCGGCCAGGACAGGGAGTTTATTTCCTCCAGTTCTCAGTACCTTATCACTGAACTGTACTAGTGGCTGATAAAGCATGTGTCAACAGCATGTCACTTGAAAAAGTTTATTATTTATGGTTATAACTAATAATACTTTATCCGTTACAAAAACATCTGCAAGAGGAAGAAAATATATGACAGGTTATTTTCTTCTTTTTTTTTTCCCCACAGCTGCTCAGAGAAATTGGGTGCAGAGGAAGTTGTTTTCATAGTTAATCTAAGGATGTCCTAAGAAATGCCATCATTGCAGTATTTTCTTTTTCTTTTCTTTCTTTTTTTTTTTGTTTGAGATCGAGTCTCAAGATGTCACCCCAGGTAGAGTGCAGTGGTGTCACAGCTCATGGCACCTCCAAATCTTGGGCTCAAGTGATCCTCTTGCCTTCGTTTTTCTATTTTTAGTAGAGATGGGGGGTGGATCTCACTCTTGCTCAGGCTGGTCTTGAACTCATAAACTCAAGCAATCCACCCACCTCGGCCTCCCAGAGTGCTAGGATTACAGGCATGAGCCAGTGCACCCAGCTGGTATTTTCTTCTTGATCAGAGGATGGAACCATTTTTCTGTAAAAAGCCAGATAGTAAATATTTTAGGCTCATGGGCCATGAAGTCTATGTTGTAATTCTGCCTTTGTTTAATGAAACCAGACATAGACAATATGTAAATCAGTGGGTATGACTGTATTACAATAAAACTTATATCTGAACAATGAAATATGATTTTCATATAATTTTCAGAAGCCACAAAACATTATTCTTTTTTTTTTTTGAGACAGAGCCTCAAGCTATCCCCCTGGGTAGAGTGCCATGGTATCACAGCTCACAGCAACCTCCAACTCCTGGGCTCAAGCGAGTCTCCTGCCTCAGCCTCCCAAGTAGCTGGGACCACAGGCACACGCCACAAGGCCCAGCTATTTTTTGGTTGCAGCCGTCATTGTTGTTTGGCGGGCCTGGGTTAGATTTGAACCCACCACCTTAGGTGTATGTGGCTGGTGTCTTAGCCACTTGCGCCACA